TTCCCAGGGCTTTCTCGTCCACTTCCTTCCCCCCTTAGGATGACTCCAAAGGAGCCTACCTGCCCACCCTGAGCTGATAGTTTACCCTCCCTCCCTCACCCCTGGAAGATGAATAAAGCCCACGTGATTATGGAGACAACAGAGGTGCCCCCAGGCCCGGTGGGCAAGGTGCAAGGACTGGGAATACTCACCATCTGGGAGCTCAGGCAAGCTTGGAATGGACTCCAGGAAAACCAGCAGACTCACCCAGCGATTCACACCTCACAGACACGCATACTCACACAGGACAAACATCCGCCCAGACGGACACACATTCTCACATTTCGGCAGCACTCAGACCCCGGTTCTGGCTGGGCTCACTGAATGACCGGGCCTGCGTCCTACTCCCCGCGTGTCCGTCTGTAATCCTTCAGGGCCTTGAGCTATTGACGTGTCCCAGAAGGACCTGGCTCAGGGCACGGTCATGACTGACGTTAGCTGTCTGGAATGAACCTGCCGACCTCTTGGTGGTTCCCACCGTGTCTGAGAGACAAGTGATTTTGCTCAGGAAGTAAGAAGCCAGGCAGAGCTATGCCTGAAATCCAAGGTGGAGACAGTGACCCCAGTCTAACACAGGGACCTGTCTGATCTCTTCAGGATACATGGTTCCACAACTGGCAAGCCTGCCTGCCCACCCCACCACAAGACCTTGTCTGAAGCTCCCTGTGCTCTCTGGGCCTCCCGAGGTCACCGAGGTCTGTGCATTGGAACAGAGCCATGGCTGATTCTACCCGAGGCCCTGCCCCACCTAGTGCTAAACCCAGCTTGTGCCAGGCCAGGCCCAGGGGCCTGGCAGTCACGGATGGTGCCAGATGACGGAAGGAACATGTAACCTGGGATAACCCACACCATGCATGGGCCACACATCCTTCTCTTTCCATGTGGCCTATGTTCCAGGGTAGGGGGGACTCCCCTGTGGCCTAGGGGTCCTTGCCAGCCACTGTGGCACACCTGCTGTAGGGATCACACTCTGCTGGTGCTTACTTCAAACTTTGGTTCAAGGTATGGATGACTGGCCCCACATACAGGAGAGGCTCGCTCACCACTTCTTCCTTAGCATTCGGGTGCAGCTGGGTTGAGCTGGAGGGGATTCCCCAGCTTACAGACATTTAGGGCCCCTCTGGGATGGTGGTCTGGCTACCCAGATTTTCTTCCTAGGCTCTCTGGCTGTTTTAAGAAGACTGCATGAAAGATTCCCACCCGTTCCTCCAGAAGGCCCCAGACTGGCAAAGGACTCTGTGCTTGGCGGACCCAGCCCTGGTCATCTTGTGTCAGGACTGGTTACTGTCCCAGCCATCAGCCAATGCCCCTCTTAGCAGTTGGCTATGAATAGGCATTTCTGGTTGGTTATATGAGAAAAAAGCCAGCCTTCCACTTCCCCATGTGGACCCATTCCACCCAAAAAGCAAAGAAAGAGATGCAGGCCTTCCTGATCTGCAGATCCTCAAACGGGGAGGAAACTTCACCCCTGGGTTTTCTTTTTCTTATTTTTTCAAAAAAAGTTATTTCTTTTATTATTAGTTTTTTACCCCTGGATTTTCTCTCCACTCTGACACTGTAGCTTCCTGCAATCAGTGCCTGATAGGTATGAGGGGCTTACTTCCTGAAGAAATAGCAAAGTTATTATTATTATGTTTTGGTCATGGTCATGGGGGAATGTCTGTATTTTTTGACTCAATGGCACTAACTCTGCATTCTGAGATTTATATTTACTTTACATACAATGGTCTTCTGGGACTAATCATACCTTGCTAAACTTTTTTCTTTTCTTTTTTTTTTTAAGAGGGAAATTTTTTGCTATATGGCATGTTCACTCATGAGAGAGACAGACAGACAGAGAGACAGAGAGAAAGAAAGTAAGAAATCACCTCCCAGGGGGGATGACCACACCGCAATCCCTTCTCCATTTATTCGGGCATGCATGCATATACATCTGGCCTGAATTTCAAGCTGCCAGATCTGGAACTCAAACCACGGTCAACTACACAGGAGTCCAGTGACATAACCATTATGACATCTGTTGGTCCTGGGACTAATCATATCTTTAAAGAGGAAAAGTACATTCCTGGAAAGCTGCTCTGTGTGCATGAGGGGATGGCAGCTGGGACAGCTTCTGCTCTGGGCTGGTCAGATCCAACCAGAGGGCGACTGGCCTGAGCGTGCTCGAGGGGAGGGCTGGGAGGACCTCGACACTGAACTGCGGCATAACCCAAAAATAGGGCGGTGGTCTCTTCTCTCATCTGCTATACCATTCAGAGTCTTTCCATGGTCTAAAAGGCCCTTCATGTGCTGTGTACTCAGCCCACCCTGACCTCCGTCACTCACGGCGCAGACCCCTGGTAGCTGTGTGCAGCCAGGTCGCCTCTGTTCTGTCCGAGCGTCTAGCCACTCCTGCCTCAAGGCCAGGCTGACTCCTTGCCTAGGACACTCCATCCCCCAGTGCCTCATGTGTGGCTCTTTGTCGTCCTTCAGGCCTTGGCTCCAAGGGCTCTTTCTCACAGAGGCCACTCCCGAGCTCTCAGCTAGTGAGGTACCAGCACCCCATGTCTACGTTACCCCGTTTTAGCTGCTTCTTACCGCCACCTGCCATCTCTGCTCATCCACATGCTCAGAATCTGACTCACTCTTCTGGAGCACCCGAGTGAGTTGCTGTCTCTCTCACAGCTTCTCAGCTTCTAGGCCAACCCTGACCTATAGATGGTGTTCAGTGAATATTTGTTGTACAAATAAATGAGTGTTTAACCTGGAGAAGAGAACACTGCTTCCAAATATTGAAAGGTTTGTCATAAGAAGGAAAAAGCAGTCTTATTCTGTATGACACCAGTGGAGGGAAATTACTGGGGGCTGGGAGGGGATTACTGCAACTTCGCAGGAGTAAAGATTAATGGAGACAGCGTGAGCCGCCTTGGTGGGTGAGCTCCCTACTGCTGGAGGTATTCAAGCAGAGGTTGAACAAGTGTCTTTTTCTTTGGAGAGATTTTTTTGTTTTGCCACAGGGCATGTGTATTCATTGGTGAGACCGAGGCAGACAGAGAGAAAGTGAGAAATTGTCCCCAAGGGGGATAGCCATGCCACAATCCCTTCTCTATTCTTCCCAAGGGATTTTGAGCGCGCACACACACATAAGCCTGGCATGGGTTTCAAGCTGCTGCACCCGGGGTTCGACCATGGTAGGTCATGAGGAAGTCCAGCACCCTAACCGCTATGCAACCTCCTGGCCCTGAGGCTGGATAAGTCTTCAGCAGGCTTGTTATAATGCTCTGGATGAGGTTCCTGCCATGGAAAAGGCTTTGGGTAGAGGCTGTCTTCAAGTCCTCCAACCACAAGACCTGCCATTCCAAGTTGGACGTTCTACACTGCAGATTCCCTAGTGCCCGTCTCCTCCATACTCTGTTACGTAGCAGGTGCACAGTACTGAAAGCACTTTTTCCTGGAAGACGGAAATGTTTGGTAGGGCCAATTTTTAATCATTGATCCTTCTGATTTTATTTTTGCATGAAAAAAAAATTATGCCCTTTCACTCAATAATTCTCTCCCTGCAGTGGAATTCCTAGAGTATTTTGCTAAACATTTTGAATTGGGGCTTCCCAATTATATGGAATCCAAACAGCTAAAGTGAGGGGGTGGTGATGTGGGAGGCTCAGGAGTGAGGATTCGAACAAGTGCTCCATGTGATTTGCAAGGACCACTGTTCTTAGATCTTCCCTCCCCTGCATCATAATGAACTCGATCCCAAGATCTACCACCTAAGGAAGAACTGTGCCATCTCAACCCATGACCTTGGGAAAATAGACGGGACCAATGTACTGGATTAACAGAGAGAAGACAAGGGCTAGCCCCAGGGAAAAGGGCCCACGTGGCCCACCACTGCTAAGAGCAAATGAGTGACTTGTGGAGCAAGTGAGGATGAATAAGGGACAACCCGGGTACAGACCTAAGGGAATTAAAGGCAAGCCAGCATTCATTCCCTCTTGGTGGATGGTAATTTAGTCCAAGAATTAGCAAGGATGCAGGTTGTTTTTTGCATCTTACGTAACATTTTACAAAAGGAAAAATGAAGAACCTTCTGGGCTCTGTCTTTGCCATGATCTTCCCCCGTGCTCTCTTGACCAGCTGCCCCATGTGCCTCACATACAATAAAGGCTTCTTAGGAGCAATTTGGCCATAGCTTCTGAGGTCAGAGGTTATGAAGTTGGGGATATCTGTCTTCTGAGAGTTCTTGGCTTGGAAGAGGTTGGTGCTAAAAAGGAAACCGATTTGCCTCAAGACTGAGACCACACACGCCGACTTTCTTATGCCTTACAATTTTACTGATGTCTGTTTGGACCTGAGTCATTGAGTAGTGGGACCTCAATGCAGCGCAAGTATCCCCTAACCCCCTAAATGACTGTCAGACCATCAGAACGACTGAGCTGAGGGTCTTGATCACTCATCAACCCTTCACATGTCTGTTTGCTCCTTCCCGGATAAGTTAAGGGGCTTGCGGGATGTGAGTGACGAAGTATGATTATAAACAGAATATGGTTTGCCAAGGAACACCGTCTCTCAGAGTCCTACCACAAGCTCACTCTGTGCAGCCTTTGTTAGGGACAGCCAAGGCTGCTGGCTGTGTACTATGGATCGGGTGTCTGGTGGTTCAGAATGTCCTCCCATCTCGAGTGGCCCCCTCCCTAGTTCTGCAAAGGCACTTTCCCCTCTCACTGCCTGCTGGGGACTCCAAGGTGGTGCTGACTCATAACGGCTCTTAGCATAGCTGAATGAAACATTGCTCTGCATTAGGGAGGGAGTATTTCCTTTGATTAGAACTCCATCCACCAGACTACCAAGTTGAGGTACAATTTAAATGTCTCCCTAGGCCATCAGTTATCCAGGTCTATGTGAGGTGGAGGGACAGAGGTTTTGATACTTTGTTGGACACACAGCTATCAAATAAAACCAAAACACGCCGGTGAGTTCACATGAACTGTTATTTCCTTTAATAATGCAAAGGTGTGAACTTCGTAAGGCCTCGCTGATTATCTACACAATGTTAGCTTCTTATTAGTAGAAAAACGTGATCCAAACCTGCTGTATAAATACTCCCCAAATGAGCAGAGACACCCCACGGCGTGTGCGGCGTGGACAGCACTAATGCAGGGCGCGGAGGCAGTGCCGTCTGAGTAAGCTGGGGAGTGCTCACTCCTGCAGGGATCTCTGAGGGCCGCCAGCTTATGGGCTCCTGCTGGGGCCGGGGGCTGCGGCCTTCCCTGGGGATTCAGTGTCCAGTGGGAGTGGGTGTGCGCTGATGCTGTCTCCCAAAGGGTGTACCACCACCAGCCCAGGCCTGTCTAAAAGGGCCCAGTGCAATGATGCCAAAGGTGCTTCGGCTGAGGCCTGCAGGCCCTGAAATATGCGGAAGGGACAGGGAGAGCTAATTCGGGTCCTTCTACACTGAGGGCCGAATCTCTAAAGGGTCCCTTCAGACACTGACTCTGCACTTCCCCTATGGGTGGGCCTGACACCAAGTGAGCTGTCAGGGGTGTCACTTCTCAGGGTGAATGAACGTGACTTCTGCCCAAGGCCATCACAAGGGCCAGGAGGATAGAGGGGGGGGTTCTCCCCTTGCTCACTGTGTATCTCTTCCTAACTGGCCTGAGGATCTTACACCAAGCCCCGGAGGTGCCACTTCCTTTCCTGCTGCTCTGCCCTGTGCCTGCTTCTGCTGCCCTGGTGTGACATGAGGGCAGGGACTCCAGGGGGAGAGATTTGTGGCAGGGGCAAGAGACACCCCCTGGCCCAAGCTGCCAAGCAGCAAGCAGCCTCTGGTTGTTTGCATTGAGCGGGGGACACTGACAGGTCCTAGAGCAGGCGATTCTGCCCACAGACCACAGTGTGGGGCCACTGGGAATCCCAACGGGAAAGGCTAATTTGTGAGCATTAGAAAAATAACAACAGAAAAACTATATATAAAGAAACCAAAAATGAACAAAAATCAGACTTCCATGGAGAAGCTCAGAGATGAGATATGTAGAATGATATGTGAGCACACGGAGGGGGGGAGTTTTTATTCTGTGGAAGGCCCGTCCCCGAGCACACAGGCTGATATAATGGGCTGGACTCAGCCCTGGGTCTCTATGCGTCCGACCTTAACAAATGCACCACTTCCTCTCCTGGGTGAACTCCTGGCAGCAGACAGGAGCACCTGGCTTTTCGTTAAAGTTTTAAAAAAATGTCACTGAATCAACTGGCTGAGAGAGGCAGGGACCTTCAGAAAGAACTGACAGGCTGACTCGATCCCATGTTATTGACCCTCCAGGGGTTGGGCAGACTGGGAACGGCCTGTCCCGCCCCTTCCGAGCTTCTGGGCGCACACCAGGAAGGTGGGACCCCTGCCTGCTTCACAGTGGATGCGTCTGCCCTGCCCGGTGGACAGATGCTTAGAGCGATTATGTGGGTCACTGTCGGACCACAGTCCCCCAAGCCATGGAGGCTCTGTGCTGATCTGCAGCTCACTCCGTGCAGACAGGGAAATCACCCCAACTGGGAGACAAGCACCTTCAAAGCCGGCATGCGCTGGGCACATCAGGGTTGGCCTTGATCACAGATGGTGTAAGGTGCTGATTACAATACAAGGACCAAAGTGGCCCCCAGAACGTTTCTCAGTCCCCCCGAATATCCAACAAACTCAACTTCTTCCATGGCAGATTCAACAGGGGATCTAATTTGCCCATCACCGCTCAGGTGAACACAGCGGTCCGACTTTCTGAACGTGGGCACGTAAATACTTCAATGCAAGCACAGCCAACTACTTATTGAAGGCAGAGGAAGGGCACAGAGTTAGAATGAGGGAGGCATGTAGTGACTTTTACGATTCTGCTGCCAGCTTTAAATGGTACTGAAGATTCTTCCTCTGCTACATCATTTTAGGTTTGAACAAAAAACGGCAAAAAGTAGCAGGTAAGTGGAAACTTCTCTGTGAACTTAGCATAATGCTTTTCAAAATAATAAAGAAAGAGCTCTTGAATGCTTTTTACTGCCATTAAATAGGGGCAAACTCCATATGAAGTGGCACGAAAGCATCTGGGCATGGAAAATGTCTGGACGTAAAGCTTTGTCCAATTGCAAGACCTTCCTCTTCCACACAGAATGCTTGCTTGGTGTCTGTGGCCATGGTGGTCCTGACCAGCTCTTCCAAAGGGGGCACTGATCATTTTCATAGGAACTGGGCTTGTAAGCAAATTTAATTGTTGTGTTCGAGTTTCTAACAGAGCAAAAGAAGAGTCACGGCAGAGAAAAGCAATGAGACAAAGGTGTAGGACGCAGAGCTGCCTCCCAAGGTTGCTGCAGATGTCAAACAATGAGTCCCCAGAGAGAATGTGGTTGTTTAAAAACAAAGGTGGCAGTGGGGATGTCCCAGTGACGTCCAAGGTGACAAGTGTGACGACAGACACAGGAAGGGGAGGGACGGGGAGAAGGAAAGAGAAGGTAGAGACAGAAACAGAGAAAAAAAATAGATAAAAAGAAACAAAAATTAGGTCAAATATAGAAAACGCAGGAATCAAAGGTTAGTTCAACTTAGTAAATTAAATCAACAAAGGTTAGAGAAGAGTTCAGTGCGGTATCAATACCATAAGGCCAGTTCAGAAGCTTAGCAAAGCCAGAAGCAGCCCAGCAGGGTTAATTTTGGGGTTAGGAGTCAGCGAGCAAATGAAATTAAAGTGAGAGAACGGAAGCCTCCACAGTAAAATACAAGGGCTCGATTAGGAGAGTGTTACCTTTGACTACGGTGAAGCCCCTTAGCCACAGTCAGCGAGCGCATGGTCTTCTAGTCTCTAGACTTCTGCACGCGGTGGTGGAGATGCATTGGATTGCGGCACTGCCAGGTGCTCGCCGTGCACGGGGCTACCTTTTCAGAGTAAAGCAGGCTTCTCTTCCTATTGCGCAAGCCCCCCGCTGAAGAGAGTCTAGCTCTGCACCCCTCACCTTCTACACCCTGCTGACCACAGAACTCAACCATAAATGCACATCTTGTAATTCAGAGAGGTTTTATTCTTGAATCCCAATACGAAGTCCAACCAAGCACAGAGCCCTCACCTTCTAAGACAAGGACGGTCACAGAGCCGTCAAGAGAAGGTGGGCAATCCTCCCACCCTCTCTGGTTTTATTGGGTGCCTGCAAGATCTACAGGGGGGACTTGGGCATCTCTGGCAGGCATGACTCCAGAGCACAAGGTCTCTGCCACACAAACCCCAGAAGCTGCTGCCGCCACCATACCTGGCGTGTGAACACAACATGGCCAAGCAACCTGCCTATCCAGGCTCACCCCAGGCAATAGCCACCATGAGGAATCTGGCTTTCTACAAAGGGCTTACACAAGCCTCACCTTCCCACCTCCTGGGTGTCCCAAAGGCTGGGCAGATTTGAACTTCTAATTTCACGGAAAAACAGACCAAAGGAAACAGAAAGAAGGGACAGAGGAAGAGGAAGCTATTTCAATTTAGACAGCCTTTACGCACCTGTCAGGACATCTCCTGCAGTCATACCCGGGTGCCTGTAGCACCAATGATCTGACCAGTGCCCACGAGAGACCCCTGCCCCAGCGTGTGCTAGGGAGCCTTCCTGGCAAGGTGGGGGTACCTGCAGCTTGAACTCACCTGCCAACTCTCTGGAGGCCCCACATGTCTCCCAGACATACGCATTCACACACAACCAACCATCAGGAACCACATGCCGATCTCTTGCGGCTGCTTGACTAGCCCACTTTGGCACATCCAGCCCTTTCTGGCCTGTCTCCCCTGGGAGGAGCAATCATGACTCACTGAACCGAGAGACCAGCAAGCATTACAGACAGTGCAGGCATGAGGGGGGCTGACCAGGGCCATCTTCCTACCATGCCTGAACGTGGCAGGGAGCATACGGGGCTATCTCCCACAGGCTGCAGCTGTATATCCCCTGCCCACCTCTCCTGCTTGTGCTTGGCATTTGCTGTTCTGGAAAAGCAGAGAGTGATGCCAAAGAGCTCTCTCTGTTCTGAGGACTTTGATCAATGGGGAGACTAGCCATCCGGGCCAGGAAGCAGAACCCTCACTTCACTCACACACTTGAGCGGGTCCTGGATCCCTGGAGAGGAGTCTGCCTCTCCTGGGAAAACCGCTGCCCTGGCTGTGGCCAGCAGATCACACTGCCTTTCACTGATGGCGCTTTCCAGCATCTCGTTCCTCCGCTTTGCTGCTCCAGGTGGTTCCGTTTAATCTAGTTTCAACTGAGGGTTTGTGACCAAGGGGGTGACGTCTCTTCCTCCTCTTGGGGTTACCACAGAGAAGGGATCTGGACCATGGTTGTGCAGATAAAGCAAGCATCAGAGAGAAAGCGCTTAAAGACAGTGTGGTCCTGATATGAAATGGCAGATGGAAGACAAGGTCTCCGTAAAGGAGCCTTATCCGACCAGCTTCCAAGGCTAGGCTGGAGCTGGGCCTGTCCCATCTGAGGGGTCCCAGGGACTGGTTAGCATCAGTCCCTCGAGGCCAAATGAGACAGGACCTCTTCCACAGGATGCTTGGCCAAGCCTTCCTGGGGGTCCAGTACATCTCAACCCACTGCACAGATAGGTACAAGGCAAAACTAAGCTCGGCATGGGCAACCAATCATGAGGATGGCTGTAAGCAAGCAAGTTGTCAGGGGTGTTCAGGCACATTAGGAGGTGCAGCACTGGTGCATTAATTCGAAGCGGAAAACTAACAGAGAGCAGAGGCGGTCATACCTGGGATGGCCGTGGGCTGCGCCGAGGTCCTGAACACAAAGTGAGCGGCCTTGGATTTTCCTTGCTGGTTCTCAGCCACCACGTAGACCTCGTACTCAGCATTCCAATCCAGGGATTTAAGCATGACGTGGTCACTGCCAGATGGGAGCCTGATCTCAGGTTTCCACTCGGAGGACAGCTTCTGGGAGAAATTGGCAAAAAGGACACAAGACACCAGGGAGTGTTAGGTAAGAACAGTGGTAAGACCAGCTAAGAGGCGGAATGGAAGGGAGTCGAGGACCGCTGGTGCAGAATCACAATAATCCGAAGCAATGACAGGACACGGTTTTTATTCTTTATGAGCCTGAAAAAATCCCAAGGATTACACAGGCTGGGCTTTCAACCCTGTGCGGTTGCAAATAAAAATAGCAGCAGATGCCAGTGTGGCCCTGGGCCAACCCCTTTGATGTCTTACCATCTGCAGGCCACACAGGGACTCAAGTGTCACCAGGTCCCCTAGGTTATGCTTGTATATGCAGGGCACATATACAAATGGACAACCGAGAATAATAATTCATAGATTTCGTGTCCGATTTCAGAGTTCCGCATGTGACCCACCTCCCAGGGAGGTGAACACTGTACAGACGCCAGCTTTAGTGAAAGTAAAGAACTATTATTTGTTGAGCATCAACTATGGGCCAGGCACTGCGCAGAGGCTTTACAGACACACATTCTCATCGTGTCCCTGTGACAAGCTTGCGGGGGGTTTTGTTGGGCTCTAACTAACCGTGATGATGGGGAAGAGAGAGAAGCCAGGTGATTACTCTAGAGCCACACCTGCTATCAAGGTGGGAACCAAGTCTGCTGGGCCCAGAGCTGTGATCTTTCCTTTTCATAGTGGGGAGCTCAGCAAAGGCTTGTGGAGGTGAACTAGGTTTTCCATTCTACGCAGCGCGGCCTCATCTCTGCCACTGCAGCTGAGAGATTGAGGCTTCTTAAGTGCAAATTCTGCCGTCGGATCTGACACCGGGTTGTGCGGAGGACTGAGGGAGAGCCTGGCTGAGCTCAGCATAATTAAGGCCCAGGCATAAGCACAGGCATGAAGCTGCAGCTGTGAGTGTCCCCTTTTCTTCTCTGGAGATTCCTTCTGGTTACAACCTGCACGTCTCCCAGGAGCTTGCACCACGTAGGAGTTTATAAAGTCATAAACTCGCAGACAGAGGTGACCATTTCCCTAAAAAACAACTGTGGGAGAACCTAAGACTTTCTGACGTGAGACTTTGGATGGTCTCACCACCGCACAGCCCACCTCGTCACAGCGTGTGCCCTGAGGTACAGGCCAGGCACACAACATGGCTTGACAAGTGTTTGCTGTATGACATGCGAGTAGGACATGCTAGCCAGGTGCCTGAAAGGGGGCCTCGCGGCTGCTACAGGCCTGCAGGAGGGTGAAGAGTTCTCTTAGAGCAAGGCAGTTTTCCCAGGCAAAATGGCTTGTACCAGCCAGGGCGATGCCTTGAGGAAGGTTCTGGAGCTCAGAGCATGGCCTGTGACTGTTTGGAAAATGCCCGAAGCGGGTAGTTGTTTCTTTCCAATCTAACCGGGAGCCTGGGCAATGCAGCAAGTCAGGTGGTGTGGTTGTCACTATGTGGTCCCATTTTCATTTAAAAACAAAGAAACTGAGCTGTCTTTTCTCACTCTCTCTCTCTCTTTTTTTTTTTTTCCTCTGACAAACATTGCGAAAGAGAAAAGCCAGAATACAAAACCCACATATAACAAAGAAAATATCATGTTACATGATATCTATTAATAATACAGAATAATAATATTTAGCAAACACTGCATTTTTGAAGTGAAAGAGGAAGGACAGTTTAGCTTGTGGAAATCTAACACATCTCGGTGCTTTGCCCCAGTTGTCTCTTTAATGCAATCCTGCCTGCCACACCTACAATGGCTCTTTTGGCAAGTGACATCTGAGGTGGCCTTGTATGAGAGATCTTTCTAGCCTGAGCCTGCATCTGAGCTGTAATTATAGTTGCCATTTATAAAGGTTTCCAAGTGTCAAGCACGTTTTGTGTATTACAACTCTTTGCCGATATTGTAACTCATCTTTACAGTTCAGTAAACTGTTTAGTCCCCCTGTTACAGATGGAGAAATGCAGGGTTTGGAAGATTGGGTGATCTGCTGTTCAGGCCATGTGCTGCTGAGTGATCAAGCTGGAATGGGATACCATGTCTGTCTGACTCTGAAACCTAAATCTGTGCACCGGGCTACATCAGTGTAGCAATGGCCAGAGGCATCCCACCCTGCCACGTCACCCTCTCCCAACAGGGTAATGGCCACCTGCCCAGTCCTTGCATCCCACTCTGCAGTGAGGTAACCCCAGGACCCTCATTAAGTGATATCTCTGGGCTGGGCCTCAGGGAAGCCAGCGGAGGCTTTTCCTACTACGTCCACTCACACTGGCTGAGAAATTAAGTGGGAAAGAGAGCCGAGTGGATGACAGGCCTGCCCGCCAGCTGGGACGTGCGCCTGTAGGGCTCTGGGCTGGGCTGGCTCTCTAGAAGCCTAACCAGTGAAAGCCCCGCATGTCACTTTGATGGGTGCTGATCACAAGGCATAGAGGGAGTAAGTCAACTTCCTGAACGCCCCCCAACCCCCTGTGGGGCTGTTTGAAGAAAGAAAACTGCTCTCTGGCTCATTATTTTCTACTACTAAGAAACTCTAGCAAGAGGCTCTTCCCAGCGTTCAGATACTGCCTCTAAACCTCTCAGCAATTGGTTGTGGCTGGCAATGGATAAATGTCGTTTTAAAACCAAAATGAGAGAGCGTGATTCTTGGTTTGGGCGCTAAGGATAAAAGGTGGAAGGATGAAAATCTCAGGGGGGCGGTGAGAGAACTGAGAAGAAAAGGCTTGGAGGCAAGCTTGCTGTTAGCAGGGTTCTAACAGCTCAGGTGGAAGGTGACATTGTTTTAGGAGCTGAAAGCAGCCAGGGGCCAGGGTGCGAACCCCATCCTGTCTGCCAGACAGACCTGGATTCAAGCTCTGGCTCACCTAGCTGTGAGACCAGGCAGCTTTCGATCGCCATAAATCCTGGTTAGGCAGAGAGCATCGTGAGACCCATTTGGCTGGGTCTTGGTGCAGAGGTGCCCGCGATCACAGTGCCTGGCCCATAATAACATGCACTTTATCAAAAGTAGTGATTATTTGATATTAGTAAGACATTTGCAAAAAGCACTAGATAACGGCAAAGTATCTTTGAAGGAAAGCTCAAGAAATAGAAAAATCAGTCATAGTCCGAGTTCGTTGCCACCACACCATCTTAAAGATTTTAAAATGGTTCCCTAAGCACCGTATCCATGTTGTACACTATAAAAATGTACAGTGATTAAAAGTAAAAAAAAAAGAAAAGAAAAGGGAAGATTCCAGTGTGGACATGGCCTAATAGCTTGGGATTTGGGATTTGGGATTTAAAGCCCTGACCAGGTTGATGAGTACCCTGTTAGACACAGAGCAAGCCCTGCCCCCCCGCCTCCCCGCCACCTGGGCTTCTCTGGTATTGTGCTGATAAGGTGGTGTATGCAGGGGGGCTGGGCAGGAGGGCAGGGGGAGACGGGGAAGAGGCCTCTCACCGCTCGGTACTTGACCAGGTAGTGTCTGATGGGGGAGCCGCCGTCATCCTGCCTGATCCGGGCTGTTTGAAGAAAGAAAACTGCTCTCTGGCTCATTATTTTCTACTACTAAGAAACTCTAGCAAGAGGCTCTTCCCAGCGTTCAGATACTGCCTCTAAACCTCTCAGCAATTGGTTGTGGCTGGCAATGGATAAATGTCGTTTTAAAACCAAAATGAGAGAGCGTGATTCTTGGTTTGGGCGCTAAGGATAAAAGGTGGAAGGATGAAAATCTCAGGGGGGCGGTGAGAGAACTGAGAAGAAAAGGCTTGGAGGCAAGCTTGCTGTTAGCAGGGTTCTAACAGCTCAGGTGGAAGGTGACATTGTTTTAGGAGCTGAAAGCAGCCAGGGGCCAGGGTGCGAACCCCATCCTGTCTGCCAGACAGACCTGGATTCAAGCTCTGGCTCACCTAGCTGTGAGACCAGGCAGCTTTCGATCGCCATAAATCCTGGTTAGGCAGAGAGCATCGTGAGACCCATTTGGCTGGGTCTTGGTGCAGAGGTGCCCGCGATCACAGTGCCTGGCCCATAATAACATGCACTTTATCAAAAGTAGTGATTATTTGATATTAGTAAGACATTTGCAAAAAGCACTAGATAACGGCAAAGTATCTTTGAAGGAAAGCTCAAGAAATAGAAAAATCAGTCATAGTCCGAGTTCGTTGCCACCACACCATCTTAAAGATTTTAAAATGGTTCCCTAAGCACCGTATCCATGTTGTACACTATAAAAATGTACAGTGATTAAAAGTAAAAAAAAAAGAAAAGAAAAGGGAAGATTCCAGTGTGGACATGGCCTAATAGCTTGGGATTTGGGATTTGGGATTTAAAGCCCTGACCAGGTTGATGAGTACCCTGTTAGACACAGAGCAAGCCCTGCCCCCCCGCCTCCCCGCCACCTGGGCTTCTCTGGTATTGTGCTGATAAGGTGGTGTATGCAGGGGGGCTGGGCAGGAGGGCAGGGGGAGACGGGGAAGAGGCCTCTCACCGCTCGGTACTTGACCAGGTAGTGTCTGATGGGGGAGCCGCCGTCATCCTGCTTGATCAGGTTCACCTTAATAGAGTTTCCATCTTCTCCCATCTGCCCTTCGAGCTTGGGTGCGCTGGGTTCCCCTGAAACAACCAGTTGATTCACATGAAATCTTTGTCCACAGAATGGCAACCCAATCCGTCAGAATGGGAGGGGGTGGGGCTGGACACTGTTCTTGCTTTCTCAGAAACTCAAATGGTTAGAAAGCAATAAATATGAAACTTGAAATTCAGGTCGATGCCTCAGAGCTAGCCCACGCGGAGAATGCCCTTCAGGGATGTTTGGGAAACAGCCTCCCTAAGAGGGCAACCCAGGTGCCACTTGGACCACAGGCCTTTTACTGTCTCTCTCCCTGGTACTCGAACTTCCTTTTGGCTGCTCTTACAACTGCAGGTTTCATTTTCATAAACCTGACACATCTGGAGGAACAGCCCAAAATATGGGAAAATACTAGCACCTGAGTAGAAAAGTGACTCCCACAAAATCTTTTCCCCAAATAGTGCAGTTTCCTGCCTTGGGTTGCGGCACTCACCCTAGGGACCCGGGGGCCTGATCTCTAACGGGAGTGAATGATGCTGCACTTTTGTGACTACCTTTTGGTGAATCAAAATTTATTACTGAGATTCGTTAATAAAAACAAGTTTCCAGATGTGATTAAATAAAGCACAGTTAGCCACAGGCAAGTTTTCTGTAAGTACCACATTTACGGCTCCGGTGAGTGAGTGATAATCCCGGCACTTTCATGTTTTAAGTAACAATCGTTAAAGTGTTTGTCTCTGTGAAAGGAGGGGGAAGAATCTTTAGCATTTCTCAATGGAAAAAAGAGACGCGGAGTCTCTTTATTTGCAGGAGACAGGCAGCTCGGGCAGCTCTTCGCCCTGGGAATCCAAGGCGGAGCAGGAAGATGAACGTGGAGCTGACAGACTCCCGGGGCTGGGATGGTTCTTCAGTGAGTTAGACACGGATTTACTCTCAGAGAAACCATTTCATTAGCATATGCTGAAAGCTGAGGTGAGAGCACATCTGCTTTAACAGTTAAAATGGGGGCCAGCAGGTGGTGTGGTAGTTAAGGCACCAGACTCCCACATGGTTGACCACGGTTTGAAAATCATGCTAGGTGCATGCATGTGCCCAAAATCCTGGGAGAAGAATGGAGAGGGGATTGTGGAGTGGCCATCCTGCCTGGGGGGTGATTTCTTACTTTCCATCTGTCTCTCTCCAGCGAGCACACGCACCCTGTGGCAAACACCACATCCCCCCCCCCACACACAAAAAAAGTAAAATGAAGATCGAACATACTTGATGGGGCCAGCGTAATGGTTAGGGAACTGGACTCCCACATGACCAACTGTGGTTCAAGTCCCAGACTTGGTGGCTTGAAACTCACACCAGGTGCATGTGCGTGCATGTCCAAAATCTCAGGAGAAGAATAGAAGAGATGGGATTGCAGGGTGGCCATCCCCCTGTGGGGGTGATTTCTCACTTTCCCTGTCACTGTCTTTCTGTCTCTGATGAGCGCACGTGCCTGATGACAAAAACCTTAAAAAAAAAAAAAAAAGAGTGTACATACTTGGGAATCCTGCCCTAGCTGCAAGGAGCTACCTTTGTACCTAATTTGTGAGCTCCAAGGGAAAATCATGGCAGGCTATAAAGCAGCTACTTCTGGGCGGATCACCATGGCTTGCTCTCTGGAAAACAGAATCACAGACATGGGACTGACAGAGAACCAGGAGAAGGCTTGTCACAGGCCTTGCATCCAGTCAATTACCCAACACGGCACCACTGCTCACTGAGGAGAAGACAGCTGGCAAAACCAGGGTCTCGCCTACCCTCCCCATTCGCCAGCCTGGGGAATGCGTGCCTTTGATATGAGGGGACTAGAGAGACAAAGCTCATGGTGAACCCTACCTGTAACCATGTGGCCAGACTAGGCTTATCGTCTGTCATAAGTGAAGATTCTCTGGGCTAGCTCAGTGGCCGAGTGGTTAAGGGAGCCAGATCCCTCATGGCTGTGGTTCTAATCCTGGACCTGGTGACTTGAAAAAATACACCAGGTACACGTGTATGCCCCAAATCCCAACATTATGGAAACATGGTAGAGAAGGAATTGTTGCATGACCATATCAGGGAGTATCTTTTCCCTCTTTATATGTCTCTCTTTGGTAAGTACATGTGCCCACTAATAATAATAATAAAAAGAAATGTAGATTCTCACTGTAACAAGATTCCTTGTGCATATCTGGGTTTGGCAGGAGTAGTCACAGAGGCATGTAAAAGCTTACGGCATGGATACTAAATAATCTTGGTGTCTAGGGAATATTTAGGACAAGCTGTGCTTACCGTTTGTAATCAGCAATTAAAGAAAAAATAAAAACAGAAAATAAATGGGCTTTTGGCAAAGACTTGTTTTTGTTTTAATATGATTTGCTATAAGGTGTGCTCACCAAAGACAGAGACAGAGACAAAGAGAGGGAAAGTGAAAAGTCACTCCCCAGGGGGGATGGCTCTGCCACAGTCTCTTCTCCTCCATTTTCCTCTCCAGGATTTTGGGCACATGCACACATGCCCAGCATGACTTTCAAGCCACCAGGCCCAGGACTCGGACTGTGGTTGGCCATGGGAGAGTTCAGGGCCTTAACCATCATGCCAAATGCTGGCCCAGATTTGTACTACTTTTAAATCACTAGCCACTGGCCCCAACTAGCCAGTGCAAAGTATTTAGATATGGTTTAGATATGTCAAATTATGTAAGCTTTGTGTATTTCATTGGACTGTTCTAAGTCTTCGGCAATAATCCAGTTGTTTACATTGTTATCAATATCCAGTGCTGAAAGCAGCTCAAAGTGTGCTCGCTTCGGCAGCACATATACTAAAATTGGAAAGCAGCTCAAAGTGGGTGTACCTTCGAGTAGGGCAAGAGCTCTGTGTAGATTTAGCAAAACTGATAAAATAGAAGAAGGCACAGAATTTTACAAATTCTATTGTCTGACTGGATTAGGGTGAGCAACTCTTCTTGGTTAGCCTAGAATAGTCTATTTTTTAGCACTGGATGTTCAACGTCCTGAGAAGCCCCAGGCAAACTGGGGTGGTTGGCGACCCTAGACTGGAAATGAGACTAATCATGACACTTCTGCATTCATCATCATGACACTGTCTCTGTGTTGAATAGGAAGGAGGGGATTTTCATTAAGCAGCGAAGGTGACCCTTCCAACACCCAGCAGGTGAGAAGCACATCCTTCCCTAAGGCATTATGGAAGGTTACTAATTCGATTACTAATCTTTATGTCCCGGTTTGGTTCCCTATTCTGCTGTAAATGTGGGGTTTTAAGGCTGAATTGACATCACAGAACACTTTCTCTTAACTCTTCTGCTTCATGTGTGTATGGTTGGGGGGGGTGTCTATTGCTTTTTCCAAGACACTGCCTCAGTCTCCTCATTTGCAAAATATAGGCACTGGGTCAAATGCTCTTGAAGAACCCTTCCAACTCTGCCATCACTGTGACACCCTACTCTACCGACCACAGCCTTGCTACTTCTCATGACACTATGGAAGAAAACACAAAAATAATATGACCCTTAGTTTTAGGGAGATGCACCCCAGGATCAACAATCCCATATCTCTAAAGCACTAAAAACTGTAGTATACTTAGAACATAGTTCTAAGTCCTCTATAGTTAGAATATTATAATTTACTATTTTATCTGTATTATTTTCACATGTGTTTGCATGTGTTACTTTCTCATAGAATTTAGAGAATTTTATATATACAATATTTAGGTAGATCATTTAAAGTGCTTCACCTATGATTCATTCAACAAATGCATATTGAATATCCACTAGCTACCAGGTAGTTGATTAGACATCACAGTTTCAACAAAACATGGTTTTGTTTGCCAAATGAAAAGAAAAAATCTAGTTATGATTAAAAAGTGGTGGGGCCTTTGGAAAGAAACATAACTCTTCCTATGAAAATATTTCTAAAGGAAGATCATATTCAATTGACATGGAGATTCTAACCCACTCTGTGGCTCTCTAACTTGCTCTAAGTATATTAAGACTTGGAAAGAGCAACTGTTTAATTGATTGTCTTATTCATCCTCAAATGTTTACTGCTGGCTCTTTTTCTTAAAGATTAAAAATGGGGGTTGAGGAAACTTCCCTAAGCTCTCTGCACAAAGCCATGCCTGACCCAGGAAGGGCCGGTGTGGAAGAAACGGAGCCCTTGGCATTCAGGAGGCTCCCCACTTTATTGAACTAATGCATTAGCAGAGGAAATGATTTCCAGGGTCCCGATGTGCAATGTGTTCTGAGATGGCTGCTCTGATTGAAGTCATTATGGGTAATTTCAGCAAAACCAATATTGTAATTATTTGTAAATGTTGGTTTCCAATTCAGCAGCAATTGGCAGGTTTGCTCCAAGAAAACCCCCGGGGTTAATTATACCCTTTGAGTTTAGCTTCAGCCATGAGTCGAATTCCCCCCCTCCCCAATATTTTATGTAAAGATTAAAACAGCAGTAACTTAAACATAAATCTTGCCAATAGCACATAGGAGATATTGGGAAGTTCTGGTATTTTCTAGCAGAGCGTAAATCATGAACATAAGAAACTAAAGAGGACGTAGCATAGAGGCCACGTGCAGTCAGCTACGTCAAAGGCAGGCCCTGTGAGGGTCCCCTGTAGAGGTCGTAAGTGACATGTATGTCTTTGGCCATGTACTTTACAGGCTCTTTCTTTGTCATTTCTGGGCTACTGTGCCCTTAAATATGAACCAGCTTCATACTTTCCTTCTCACTGGCAGAAACACTACTGCTGGAGGGTGGCTCAGGCTGCTGGGTTCTACATGGCTGACGCGTGGTTCAAGTTCTGAATCTGACAGCCTGTAAAACACGCTGGGCACGTGCGCATGCCTGCCTGAAATCCCCAAATGAGGGAGAAGTGGAGGAGAGTAGAGCATGATCATTCCCTACAGGGGAGTGCTTTCTCACTTTCCCTTCCTTCCCCTCTTTTTCCCTCTCTCTCTGGTGAGCACATGCAAACTCTGACAAATTAAAAAAAGAAAACTATTGCTGGATACCTAAAC